TGAAATAGAAATCTTTTGTAACATTATAAATGTCTTTATCATCACTTTTAATCAATTGAAAGTATCCTTGCTAAATAAAAGTAATTTCTAATAAAAAAATTATACTGACTCCAAGCTTTTGGTATAGTGCATGTAAAGAGTGCACAACAACCTTGTATGTCCAAAACCATTACTTTTCAGGAACACTGACAGAAAGGGTGACCAATAGCACTGATTTATGACAAAAACAATAAAAATTATGAAATGTGGAGATACGAGGTTTCTGCCTGACAGCAATGAAATAGACTTGTATATAACGTAATAACATATTATTTTGACTTTTATTTTGTTGACCTAGCTAACATTAGTTAATTAGGTAACCTTAGCCTAACATTCAAATATTATGTCCAGTTATCTTCCACAGTATATCAAATATTTTCTATGGTAATACATTATAAAATAAGACTAGTTGTGAAATGTGGGGCAGGTGAAAAGTTTTCTGCAATAAATATGTTCCTACTTACAAAAAATTAACAAATATCAAAGGTTTCTATATGGGTCATTTTAGACCCATGTGTGTAAAATTGATGTAGAAATACAAAAACTGTGTTTGTTTATAAAGTCAAAAAGGTAAAATAAACAATTATTTGTGGAAATCAAAAACAAGATATTTAATGAATACCCGAAATAAAGCAAAGATTGAGCAAAGAAACACTCAACCATGATTGAAATAACATAGGAAATGAATACACGTCATTTTAGACCCATGTTGTGCATTAGAGGGGTAGTGATACAAAAATTAATTTTATTAAAAAGGATTATTGGATTTGTGATGATCAAAAACAAGTTAATTAATGAATTCCTGGAATACTGAATGATGAAATTCATTTCTTGTAAAGATATAGAAAAAATAAACTCAGTCGGGTCACTTTAGACCCATGTTGTGCATCAAAGGGTTAAAAACGTTTTATTTCGACAAGTATCAAACACAACTGGTTCCAACTAATCACAAACATCAAAAAATAAACAAATATATACAAAAAAACCTAATAAATAAAAACTACTACTAATTACAAATAACACCTTATGTATAAATGTTTCTCACATATAAACATATAAACTAACATCCAAATGACTGTGTGTATGTGAGAGAGAGAGAGAGAGAATACTCCCTACATTATGGGGACCCCACAAGGATAGTAATACCAGTAATCAGGGTCATCCTTTGGGCGGTGAAACTAGTGCGGTCGTACCAGACCCGGTGCTTTGAGGGGGCCCCGCAGCGAACGGACCGAGGGGACCCTAAACCCCCACCCCCGAAACGCAATCGCCATAGGAAAGAGGGGGCCCCACTCCCTATACCTCGCACAGAGCCCCGTGTCAGCTAAGGATGGCCCTGCCAGTAATACCTGTAGATTTTGTCGTTGTGGGACCATTTTTGATCCCCATGAGGAAACAAGCTTATAAATCATAAATCACAGAAGGATTTTTTTTTTTTGAAAATCTAAAATAGAAAGTTTTCTGTGAGGGGTAGAGGATCAAATTTACAGTTTGTACAGAATAAAAATCATTACGTCTATGGAATATCTCCATAAAACATGGAAACCCAATGTCTGTGTGTGTGTGCACGCGTGCGGGCATTATGTACTGTTAATGAAGAAGATTGATAATAATTGAATAATAATGCACATTCTTTGAGTTTTCTAAGCTTGTAAAAACTGCCCAGGAGCACATGAATGCATCATATTCCTGATTATGCATCTGAGCACATCTCCATCCTATAACATGATATTGGCTGAACAAAAGTGGTCTAACTGCACAATGCTGCCCTGAGGCAAAACAAAAAAAACGGAAAAAAAAAAAAAAAACACGGTTTTAGTATAAATAAAAATAAAATAAGTCTTTAAACAATCAAACATACTTCCTTACATACTAATGCACATGCATTAATTTTTTAATAAAGTTATTTAAATTTAAACATGTTAAAAAGTTATATTTATCTTACCAATTGGTGACACTGGGCCTCATTTATCAATCTAAAGTAGAAACGAGCGCAGATCCGTGCGCACAAATCAATTTACGACAGAGTTCACGTGTGATTTATGAAACATTCGTATGCCGCCAATCTCATCATACAAATGATTGCTCGTTGATAAACGCCCCTAAAACACCCCGGTTTAGAAGCCTCGCCCCTAGAGTTTTACGACACGTAGAAACGAAACCCGGCCAAAAAGAGGAAGTAATCTCATCAAAGAGAAATTGATAAGACTCCAAAAACACCCATTAACCTTGTAATTGCAAACAATTAGGCTACATTAATTTATGTAATTTATAAGAGTGACACAAAAACGAGTGTAGCCTATACTTGTTGCAGTTTTTTCCCTTTTGTTAATCTGTTAATTATATTATATTATAGCCTATTATATATTTTGTGTTGTGCTATTTATTTTATTCCTTTTATAGACTTAATTTCTGTTTTTCTCCGTTCACAGAAGAGCTGGGCAAAAAATGCTGGTGAACGATAGCGGAAGCACTTCAGCAATGTTTACACTCTTGTTTTCGGAAGTCAATCGCTAGTTCCGCCTTCTCGATGACATCACGTGCGTCGTTAAAGACGGCACGCGATGAATGGTCGGGAAGCAACGTGTAGTCTGACATGTTTCTTGTCCATGACACCTCAAGATTTTAGGAGTCAAAATCGTGTAATCTGTGTCTATCGTGACCGACAAAAATATTGTGTAGTCTGAACCCAGCATTACTGGTCAGTGATCGATTAATGAGCTTCGGTTGTCGGTCGGGAAAATAACCTAAATGAACAAAATGCTGTCATTCTACAATTCTCCACCAGATTTATATGCTGTGCGCAAGTTCAGGCTAATAAAAACTTGCGTTCACGAGCTGAGACCAGACGTGAGATTTGATCGTAGCCACCGTTCACATCCATATTGATCAATTACAAGGTTTGCGTTGAAATGACCGTATGCCCAATTTTCTGTCGTAGGTTCATTTCGTAAATGAAGCCCATTGTGTCCATTGTAGCTTTTCTTCCTGAAAGGATTGCCCCCCCCCC